ATTGTGGCTACTACTGACACCAGTTTCGAATTCTCCGATGCCTCTGTGTTAGACTCATTTGTGTGTAAAATATTCCTAATTGAGCATAAAAGTTGAGATTTCAAATCATTTTTATTGTCTTTCTTTACAAAGTCCATACGTTTTCTCTGGCTATCAATGGGAATATATTGGTGGGTTTTGAGGCTAACACGGAGAAAAGGAGTACCATCAAAATGCAAATATTCGGTTGTTATTTTATAATTTCAGATTTAGAAGAAAATACCCGACCTAATGAGGGGCGGCCATTTTGACAAAGGGCCTGTCGATGATTCAAAAACTAGTTGAAATGAGTTCTGTTTGATAAACACTCCATCGACACTCCAYATCAATTTAGAGCGGCAACTTTGTCTATATGTATTAAAAGCGTGGTGATTAAAAAAGGGGAATATTGAAGTTGGTTGTTTATAAAATACTGCAAGAGTAAATTGTTCTAGAGAAAAACCTGGCCAGACAAACAATAAAATACAGAATCAGTAATAAAAAACAACCGTCTATGCATTGAATTTGCTCTGACTGTTAAATATAATCAAACGTACATCAAAAAAACTTGCTTTTCTCATGTGAATTATTAATTAATTGATCAGTTTGGCGTTAGTTCGGTTTCCGTTCTCTATTTCTTTTCTTCCTTTCCCTTTTCATAGATTTCCAGTTAATATCCCATCTATATAAAGTACTCGTTTCTGATAGGCTAATTTACGGTGGATTTTCTCTTAATCGATACAAGAATTAAGCATGCATGAATCTATCCCGGCATGCGTTATGGCCATATGTCCTTATATTAAGTTATGGTCCGAGTAAGAAGCAGGCAAGCAAACGGCAATGGAATGCATGGAGGTGCTAATTTTGTATTGTATAATCCATCCATCTCATTGGTTAAAACATTAAAATTTGACATGATTTCAAAAGTAAGCGCATTTTTTTAATATTTTATTTAGTATCTGATTCCGACTTCATGAAAGCTTTCCTTAGCTTTAATATTAATAGCAATTCTATGTGGGGAACATAGAAAATTAGAAGCATTTTTTGGCTATTGTTTTGAGTGCTTATGATTGGACATGATATTGATAATATTGATACATAATCAGTGTGAAGACCAAGACATTCGTATGTGGGCAAGTTGCAATTGCCGCAGAACAATAGAAAGTTGCCTGCTTTTTTGCGCGCATTGTTACTTAAGCTACAATTGCGGACATAATGTGTTGTACTGTGTTAATAAAGACGGAGTATGTTCTTCTATAAGATCAARACCATTGCTTCCCGGCCACTTCCTCGATACAATGTTGGTAGTCATCAATGTGATAATATGCATCAGTAATTACTTAAGTTAAGGGACTGCTCAATCAATAAATGATTTATCAGGATGGGGGTTGAGAGTCCAGAAGGGGGGGAAATCTAATGCTATGTGCTTAAAGAAGGGAGGGGGGGGGGGTTGGTGGCGACGTCTAAAATTAACTAGAACTCTAGAACTTCAATTGGAAACTGAAAAATCAACGTTGTCAGATTCTGTGCTTTTTGACCAAATACTTATTGAAGTGGAAAACTTCTCAAGAACTCTTACCTTTTTAGATTTTTTGACACATTTCTACCACCTCCTAATGAATATTATGCAGTCCCTAACATGTGGCAACACTGTACGGGAGGATGAAGAAAATGKGAGAAAAATAATAGCATGTATATGTAAGTTTGGCTCATTTGCGACACCAGCTTTGTACCCGGGTATATCTATAAATAAAAGGTTGAAACTATAGCGGCCAAACTACTTTGAGCTGCGTGTTAATTCGACGAAGGATTAACCGAAACGTCAGTAAGTTGTTTCATCTACWTTTTTACGKTGTTAAAATTTAGCTTATAACACAAGTGTATCTAGGAGAGAGTCTCCTAACTGAGTACCATCTCTTGCTCTGACCAATATATCAAAAATGCCGATTAATATTCGACGGCTATTCGTAAACAACAACAAACGTAATAGATTTACTTCAAATGTGGAAAAAATCGAATGCGCTGGGAAATATGCGCATTGGCGGTTTCTTGTTCCAAAAAAAATGTCCAATACCGTAATGTGTATTGTTATAGCGGTCGAATCACCGCTAAAATGGGATTTTAATGTTTTTCAATGACTATTAAGCATGCAACTTGGATTAGAATTATCATTTTGTACTTCAACTTGCAATAATGCACTTCGGTCTTGGAATGCACTAATCCACATCCAAGAGAAGTATATGACAATGATGATGACTTSATCTCAAATCCGAGGCATTTCTTATTTTCATTTCTTTTGCAGCCAAAGTATCGCTGAATTATTCGGCTGTACTGCATTAGACCACATAAAAGAGAATACGAACTCGTAGCGAGCAGAGTCGATTGTGCGCACTCACACAAGCCCTACACTACGAAGAACTTAGATATCTGAATATTACCTGGCATTATAATATTATTGCAGATACTATTTTCATTTGAATTACCTGCGTTAGTTGTTAGGGGAGTAATATCCTATATGCTTCAATATATGCTCTTTTTCATCTCCGATATATATTTACACTTTTTTTCACTTCCTTTCCAACTAGAATATCGTCATTAGAAGAGACTGCATTGATGTCCAATCAATGAGGCTTTTACCTCAATATTATGCCTTAAGGGCAAAACTATATTAGGATTCCTTTTTTCTTACTTTTGAAATTTTGTGTTTGTATATTTTAAAATTGAGCTGAAAATAAAACCATAATAACAGTTACAATAACTATGCCATAATTTGACCTAATTTAAACTACTTTTTCCGTAACATTTTTGCTTCTGTTTTTACGTTTAAAACAGTGTAGTGTTTTTTGTTTTGCTGTTGTTGTTGTTGTTGTTTTTTTTTTGTTTTTTTGTTTTTTGTTTTTAATCTGCAGAGTAATATGTTGGCAAGCATGTGTTCATGTTTTTCTTAAAAAAGAGATCGAAAAAAAAAAATGTTTGAAATTAAACAATACCTTTTAAAGCGGCTAAAAACAATTATAAGATCAAATAGCCGACTTTCAAATTTTACATAAGGCCCAGTCACTCTTGAGTACCACAGACTATCTTACAGTACAAATCAGCTGTTATTTTTCATCAATAGCCGACTTGCGAATTTTGCCTCGGTATAGTCACACACAAAGGAATCAAGACTAGGCGCCGTGCATAAAACTAAGTCATTCGTAAAAACACAATAGTTTAACAGGATTGACTGAGCTTTATGCACGGCACTTTGTCTTGATTCTTGGTGTTTGACTACTTAGGCGAAAAGTGCAAWTCGATTGTTCACCACAAGTTGCTGAAGATGAAATATATGCATAAACTGTSTCATTTTATGTATTGAACCTCCCAGTCTTTTGCTTTTTCCTAGTTCCTTTTCATTTTCCTGTTCTATCAAATACTCTACCTTATGCCAATGATATTCAAGTTCTTTCTAGGGCTTGATCAAGCCTTGGACCAATCATAAGGAGCTCTTAATAAGTCTTTTATAAATTGCTTGAAGCATATAAATTTTCACTTTTAAATTGCTTAGAACTCTAATCAACACTTGATAATGGGAAGTATGGAGTTTCCGCTCACTCATAAAATTAGGCCGTTCTTTAAGATGGAATTAATTYATTGATATCAAAGCTTGAAGAATATAAATAAAAGGAAAAAAGAGCTAAAAAAGAGATAACATTTCCACAACAATAYATACTCCTTTTTGMAGTCATTTTCGAAATTTTTGAAACTTACGTGCCACAGACCGTGATAAAGGAAAGTCTTTTTCTTTCTTTGAATAGCCTCAATTACATGTGCCTATTTTGAAATGTGATTTTTTTTATGTGATGTGTTAAAAGTTTTTGCGTGTTAGAAATAGACGATAAGACTCTAGAAATCATGATAGGCGACTTTCTGAAACGTCAGCGAACTAGTTTTTTCTCAAAATCCACTGAATAAAACYACATGTTTCCCTGAATATTCCATTGAATAACTGCATCATACTTATTGTTATAACTCTGAATATCCCATATTTGCTAATTGCTATCCGGCCTCTTATAATGAGAACGAGCTCAATTATACCAAATTGCAATTTCATAGTACTCTCTTTTCAATTTCGAATCAAAATCACCTAAATATAYACTTGCTCGCTCCATCTAAAAAACCTTTCTTCGATATCTTCTASAACATACTGAGAAATATTTAAAAGACTTCCCGACTGCAAAGTTCTAGATTTGTCTATCTGTTGACCGCGCGCTCCTTAATAAGATGTGAACATAATTTTTGTTTGATTCTTGTTTTATTTTTGTTATGTGGCGCATGCATCCTTTATTTACCATACTGGTAGACGAGTTTACTAGATTAAATAGCTACAATACATAGTCTATCATCAAATTGTTATCAAACTGACAGCACGTAAGATTATGAACATGCTGCAATAATGAAACATTTCACACCAGATAGCTATAAGCTTGTCCGCCTTAAGTCGATTTTCAACATGAAGAGTTCTAAAAGTTGATATCAATAATTGAGCTTACCTATTCAATGTTGCTTTTATGATGTTTCTGAGTCGTTATAAGTCGACACTTTTGTTGTTGTTTCGTTGTGTTGTAGCTTTTGTATTTGACTCTGAGCACGTCGGATAATATAAACTCTAAATGTTTTCGTTTAAGAGAGAAATAGCTTGAAGCGGAACCGAGCTATCTTGCTTCCTTGTTTATCGCTAACATGAACATTGAATGGATAATTGTGAACTGACAGGTGTCTATGGCGTTAAAATGACATCTTAGTAACTATACTTTGTCCAAACAAATTTCCAATACAAGCCAGTATCGTAGCGACTAATGYGCCGAGGTAAATTTAATYACCGTGCAATGGCATKGTGGCTTGTTGAAGTTGACTCTAAATGGTTTCTATAGTGTTGGTCTAGTATTTGCTAATGGCTGCTACATCAATKATGCGACACCGAGATAAAGAMASACACTGCATGCATCCTCATTATTAAACAGCTTTGCGGTACGTAGCACRCTAAGCAAAAGTGAGAGGGAATTTCTGCAATTCCCAAGTGATTCGTTTAGCAATACTCCTCCAGTTTCGAATTCTCTTTTGTGCAAGCTTACCTTAAATCAAGCRTAATTTTTTATTGTCTCTTTTGTACACAGATTGTTTGCATAAAAATAGATTCTCTGCTGAATAAAAGAATATATTACCCCTGCTTTCGAGGTTAAGGCTGCACAAATAAGACCTCGAAACTGGAGTATTGATCATGACAGGTTGACTGAATTGATTGAGATCAAAAAGACCTAGCTGCGCAATATATTACATGTCAAAATGTGGGAACTAGCGGTAAACTAKWRYGAGCTGCGCCGGTGCTTCTAAAGAAACAGTTGTGTAAAAAGAYAAATTTAACACCGTAAAAAAGTAGGTGAAATAACTTACTACATATCACACTAACACACCTTTATATACGCTTTAATTGCTGACATGCAAAATTAGTACCTAGCAAGTTGATTGAATGGCTGACTGACTGTCTGACCTGCATACTGACTGACTGACTGACGTGCATAAGTGACTGGTGGATCAACTTCCTCGCTCTTTCATAAACTGATTGATGTGTTAATTGCCTCGTCATTTATCCTTTATGTGTATCACCTGTTTTATAATGAACTCACATTTCCAAACCTTTTACCTTTTCGTGAATTGATATTGTTTGCTCRCGTTAATGTGGTTTTGATGGGTTTATCGTTGTTGAGTTGGTTGGAGTCTTAAAAATGCACCAAAATAAAATGACAAACCATCGAGAGCCWAAAAGGTGAATGTGGAAACCACTTAAAACACGCGAATGAAGTGTTTGTGGAGGCAGTTATTGTTGTCTTTGGTTACAAGTGTTTGYTGACAGACACTTACAGTTCTTACAGCGCACTTTTGCACATGATGACCTTGTATTCTTATGAATCGCTTTTGTTATTAAGTAAGCTGAAAACATAATAGACTATCTTTCAAGATAACCTAGCAAAAACTTCGAACAAAAGATGAATTATATCAATGCAACTATTATTTAAACATAACTAGCAGAACAGGTTGTCATGGATAAACAAATGTTAATTTTGTTTTTGTAGAGTACAAAATTCACATGAAATTTGGTGGCATGGACACAGGTCTTTAATTTAAAGCAAACATTAACCCATTTTGAAATTTATTCCTTTCTGAATKCTAGAAGCTTCTTTGTGACAATTCTGGTTTGACTGGTTTGTATATACGGCTTCTGGTCTGAAAGGCATTGATAATTATATTTTCATTTGTCTAATATTACTGTTTTATGATATAGTTCTGATATTTTTTATTCGATGTCATTTCACCTACATTTTTTATATTTTTCAAATACCTGTATCTCAGAAATTGCAATTTATGTCAATTTTAACAGCATATATATTTCCTATTATAATTGTAAGTCGTAAAAATACGGCTTTCTTCTTACTTTCACTATATAAAGAAACCACGCGTATTATTTTCACTAGTGAAAATATCAACTTTATAAAATGGAGAAATATAAGTATTTCATAGATAATTATATGATAAAATCGACTGTACATTGATAGTATCTATGAGGTACTTMGTTAAAGGTTTTTCTGTCCAAACTGAAAGGTTGGAAGACGATTCGCGCTCAATTTTTAAATTAAAAGAAATTCTACGAATCCGCCATATTCGTGTTCAAACTAAAATGGCGCTTCGGCTCTCAAGGTGTCATATGCGGTTGGTTGTGATTCTTTAAATACACGTTGATTCATATTTGYGTATATCTTCTTTAGCTCACATCACGTTTTCATACGTGTTGCTTATAGAACTCGAGTGCGTGTTTTATTGGGTATATAGATTCTCGCCGCACTTCTAGAACTCCAACATTCAGAAATTGTTATCATTTTAGAAAACTGATAATGCATATTGAACTTCTAATGAGCATGTTCCATTGTGCCACAATTGAAAGAATTTTGATCCCACACGTAAGAACGGCTAGTCTAGCTATAGTGCATGTCGGCACATTGATTCAAATTGATTTAAAACCTAGCAAAGGTCTATGATGCGACATTACTAACTAAGACCTTTGTTAGCGTTGAGTTGCGATAAAGCGCTGATTAACTTGATCTGTTCTTTATAACTGATATAGAACTGTTTAATAAAGCATCAGTTCTATACATCTGATATAGAACTGATTAATAAAACATCAGTGCTTTATTGGATATAAAGGCCCATCATGTGACCCAATTCATAGTTCCGACAAATCAAACTCGTTATCCGCGCGCGCTGGATTGGCCAATCAAAATAAAGGACACGTAATGGCAGCCATGTTGTCCCACAAAAAATGTAAACAAGTCGGTTTGGAGGGCGAAGTTGAAATGGTTTTGAGATGTTGCTGGGGCACTTTTAAAGCAGATGAGCGCTAGCCAGCCAGATGAAATGGAGGACGATTTATTTTGATTCCCAAGACAAAAACTAGCCTATACAAATGCTTGAATTGGATCAAAATGTACGGAAAAAGCACGAAGTGCTCAAAGTAAAACTCATAAAAAATAATTAAATCATTTCTCTAGGCCTTTTTCAAATTGACTTCACATTGTTTTTAACAAAAGAAACAGAAAATTTATCGGAAATTCTATCGACAAATCGTCCGAAGAATGTCATTTACAAAAAATCGAAAGCATTTGTGGGTCATTTGTGGGACAAGCGCGAGCGTTCGATTCCCGCGCTTTCTTCTGATTGGATAATCACACGCTCGCGCTTGATTTGTCGGATCTATGAATAGTTTGATGCTCATTTAAATAATAGCTCATGAACTATTAATGAGTTCTAGAATGACTTGATATTAGTCGCGTAAGCTTTACGTCRAGACGTCGTCTCAGCCTTGCGTTTTTCATTTAACAAGCGCTATTGTTAAATCATACAASTACAGGGTGATTGTCACTGTCGGATAAAGTGAGGTCATTAAACCCGCGAAACAAAACTTGACTATTAAACTTGACTATTAAAGTGTGATAGGCAAATAGACACAAAAGAAAATAATGAAATAAGCGTATTAAGGTAATATTTTAAAATTGCAGATAGGATGTTGCATGATAAGAAAATTGAGTCGTCTCTAGCTTGAAAAATAAAATTTAATGCAACTGCGATCTTCTTCAGTGCAGTGGCAAAAATGCAAAGTGTGCACGCGCGACTAACGGTTTACACAAAAAATTACAATGATTAGCGCGCGCGCTGTTTACAAGAATCTAACAAGGTTTTATATAATTTCATGGCCTGTATCATTGACATAATTACCATCAAATACGACGCATGGGTGGCCGAGCGGTGAGAGCGCTGGCCTGTCACCTCTGTGGACCCTGTTCGAATCTCGGTCGGGGCGCCATATGTGATTTGAGTTTCTTTCGTTCTCTCCCTTGCGTCGAGGGTTTTTCCGGGTCTTTCCGGGTTTTCCTCCCTCAGTAAAAACGAACCATTTCTATCTGCTGTGCTCCGCGTTCAGTCGTTCGTTGCTATGTAAAGGAAGCGCCTAGCCGGCAGCACGCCTATGTGTAAGTGT